CCAACTATTTCTACCTTCAGTTCTGTCAGTTTTTGCTCTATGTATTTTGGTGCTCTGTTGTTAGGTGTGTATATGTTTATATTGGTTATATCTTCTCAATGGATTTATCCTTTTATCAATATATAAAGTAATTATTTTGTAACAATTTTTAACTTAAATTCTATTTTCTCTGATATTAGGTTAGCCATCCTAGCTCTCTAGGTTATTATTTGTGTAGAATATCTTTTTCCTTCCTTTCACTTTCAATCTATTTGTGTATTTGGATCTAAAGTGAGTCTCTTATAACAGTATATAGTTGGATCATGTTTTGTTTTTAATACATTCTGCCTTTTAATTGGAGAGTTTAATTCATTTGTATTTAAAATAATTGTGGATGAGAAAGGACTTCAGCCATTTTGCTGTTTCTTTTTCTGTATATACTTTAGGGTTTTTTTTTTTCCTTAGTGCTTACCTTACTGGATTTTTTCCTTAGTGGATTACAGTTAACATCTTAAATTCATAGCAATCAAGTTTGAATTAATACCAACACAGTTTCAGTAGTATACAGAGACACTGCTCAGTCGGTCTCCTCTGTCATGTTTATTGGCCCTAATTGCAACTTTATACATACTGTGTCCATTAACAAAGGTTTATAATTGTTTTATACATTTGTCTTTTAAATACAAAAAGAGTTATGAAAGAAAACTCCAATAATACTACCTTTTATGTTTATCTATGTACCTGTGTATGTACCATTGTTCTTTCTTTCTTCGTGTGGCTTTGAGTTACTGTCTGCTGTCGTTTAATTTCAGCCCCATAGCCTCCCTTTAGCATTCCATATAGGGCATGTCTACCGTGACAAACTCCCTCAGTTTTTATTTATCTGAATGTCTTAATTTCCCCTTCATTTTTGAAGTATAATTTTGTTGGATGTAGAATTCTTGGTTGACAGGTTTTCTTTTTTTCCTTTCAGTACTTTAAATATGTTATCTCATTGCCTTCTGGCTTCCACAGTTTCTGAAGAGAAATTGTCTGTTAATACTATAGAAGAGGGGCTTCCCTGGTGGTGCAGTGGTTGAGAGTCCGCCTGCCAATGCAGGGGACGCGGGTTTGTGCCCCGGTCTGGGAGGATCCCACATGCCGCGGAGCGGCTGGGCCCGTGAGCCATGGCCGCTGAGCCTGCGCATCTGGAGCCTGTGCTCCGCAATGGGAGAGGCCACAACAGTGAGAGGCCTGCATACTGCAAAAAAAAAAAATACTATAGAAGGTTCCTTGTATGTCATGAGATGCCTCTCTTGCTGCTTTCAAGAATCTCTCTCTGTCTGTCCTTCAGAAGTTTGACTATAATGTGTGTCAGTGTGGATCTCTTTGATTTTATCCTGCTTAGATTTTGTTGAGAATCTTGAATCTGTAAGTTTGTGTCTTTCACCAAATTTGGGAAGTTTTTAAGCATTGTTTCTTCAAGTATTCTTTCTGCCCCTTTCTCTCTCTCCTATCCCTGTGAGATTCCCATATGCACATGTTGTTAAACTTGATGGTATCCTACGTGCTTCTCTGACTCTGTTCATTTTTCTTTATTCTTTCCTATTTCTGCTTCTGAAACTGAACAATCTCAGTTGGCCTATCTTCATATTCACTGACTCCTTTGTCTGCCTGAATCCGCTGTTGAACCCCTTTAATGAATTCTTGATTTCTATTATTATACTTTTCAGCTTCAAAATTCCTAGTTGGTTCATTTTTATCATTTTTATTACTTTATTGATATTCTGTTTGGTGAGACACCATGCTGGCTTCCTTTAATTTTTTTGTCTGTGGTTCCTTTATACCTTTGAGAATATATGACAGTTGATTTTAAATCTTTGTCTAGTAAGTGCAATGCATGGGCTTCCTCAGGGACAGTTTCTATTAGTTTCTTTTTTTTTTCTCCTTGCATATGGGCTATACTTTTTTGTTTCTTTGCATGCCTGGTAATTTTTTGTTGAAAAATGGACATTTTGAATATTATAACATGGCAACTCTGGAATAAGATTCTTTTCTCCCTGGCATGTGCTGTTGCCATTTGTTGTGGGTCACTGTTGTTTAATACTTTTCTGAACTATTTTATATTCTTTTGTTGTGTGTGGCCAATGAAGTCTGTGTTCCATTAGCTTAGTGGTTAGCTAGTGTTTTGACAAAGTTTCCTTATATACCTGGATCCTAGAAAAGAAGAAAATACTCTCCCAGTCTTTGCAGAGTGCCTCCATGTTAGGGAATTCTTCAGTGCTTAGCTAGGCCATCTACAACTCTGCCTTACCCTTGACTTCCTGTTTTGGGGACCCTGAAGTTCAGCCACAGGTGAGAACTTAGGGTCTTCTCAGGCCTGTTCTGAGGATCTGTCTGGCTCTGGTCGTGTTCTTGGCCTTCTTGATTCCCTGGTATACATGGTAGCTTTAAAAATCTCTTATTCCCCATATATCTTTTCCCCCAACCTCTTCCTTTCCAGGCTTTTGGTCTATTCTTGCTTGTCCCAAGTGTCACCCTTTGCCTCAGTCTGCTGTGGCCAACACCTTTGCCTTGAAATGCCTTCTGCAAATGCCATCTGGGAAGCTGCCTTTTCCTGTCAGATGGAACCTCCCATTTTCTTGCCTCTCTACAGGGCTACTTACTGCTCTGAATCCCAGCTCCTGACCTCCCTGGCTTCCCAGCCCTCTACCTCCCTGCCCAGTTATCCCCACCCTTCAGTTGGAGTCAGAGCAGTGTACAAACTCTAATTAATGCTGTGGCTTCTTGGCTGTGAGGTCTCCCCACCTGCCCCCGCCCCCAGAGCCTCTCTGCTGCCTTTTAAAATCCTGTAATTCCTTTGGGATCTAGCTCAGGTTCTGCTTTTTCCACGAAGTCTTTCCACATTTCTTTCTTCCTTTTCAGAATAGCTGTTATATATGGGGTGCTTATTTGGACTTTTTACTGGATGAAGCTCACATAATGCTGAAATTACCTAAAACTTTTTAAATGTACAGTCTGAGTCAGTTATTTTTTTAATTGAAGTATAGCTTATTTACAATTTTATTCGTTTTAGCTGTACAACATAGTGATTCAATATTTTTATAGATTATGCTCCATTTAAAATTACTATAAAATATTGACTATATTCCCTGTGTTATACATTATATCTTTGTATCTTATTTATTTTATACCTAGTAGTTTGTACCTCTTAATCTCCTTCTTCTATCTTGCCCCTCCCTGCTTCTCCCCACTGGTAGTGACTCGTTTGTTCTCTGTATCTATGAGTCTGTTTCTGTTTTGTTATATTCATTTGTTTTATGTTTTAGATTCCACATATATGTGAAAACATACAGTGTTTGTCTTTCTCTGTGTGACTTACTTCACTAAGCATAATACCCTCCAGATCCTTCCACGTGGTTGAAAGTGGCAGTTTCATTCTTCTTTATGGCTGAATAATATTCCATTGTGCATGTGTATGTTTATATATATATGTGTGTGTGTGTGTGTGTATAGTATATATACACACACACACCCCCCACATCTTTTTATCTTTTTTAAATTAATTAATTTATTTATTTATTTATTTATTTTTGGCTGCTTTGGGTCTTTGTTGCTGCGCACAGGCTTTTTCTAGTTGTGGAGATCGGGGGCTACTCTTCATTGCGGTGTGCAGGCTTCTCCTTGTGGTGGCTTCTCTTGTTGTGGAGCACAGGCTCTAGGCATGTGGGCTTCAGTAGTTGTGGCTCGTGGGCTCAACAGTTGTGGCTTGTGGGCTCTAGAGCACAGGCTCAGTAGTTGTAGCGCACGGCCTTAGTTGCTCCGGGATCTTCCTAGACCAGCACTCGAACCTGTGTCCCCTGCATTGGCAGGCAGATTCTTAACCACTGCGCCACCAGGGAAGTCCCCACATCTTTTCTATTCATCTGTTGATGGACACGTAGGTTGCTTCCACATCTTGGCTATTGTAAATAATGCTGCTATAAACATTAAGGTGCATATATCTTTTTGCATTAGTGTTTTTGTTTTCTTTGGATACATACCCAGGAGTAGAATTGCTGGATCATATGGTAGTTCTGTTTTCTTTCTTTTTTTCTTCCTTTCTTTCTTTCTTTCTTTCTTTCTTTTTTTTGAGGAGCCTCCATACTGTTTTCCCTAGTGGCTGTACCAATTTACATTCCCACCAACAGTGTAGGAGGGCTCCCTTTTCTCCACACCCTCTCCAGCATTTCTTATTTGTAGACTTTTTAATGATGACCTTTCTGACTGGTGTGAGGTGGTACCTCATTGTAGTTTTGATTTGCACTTTTCTAATAATCAGAAATGTTAATCATCTTCTCAAGTGCCTGTTGGACATCTGTATGTCTTCTTTGGAAGAATGTCTATTCAGGTCTTCTGCCCATTTTTAAATCAGGTTGTTTGTTTTTTGGATATTGAGTTATAAGAGCTCTTTATATAGTTTGGATATTAACCCTTTATCAAGCATATCATTTGCAAATATCTTCTCCCATTCAGTAGCTTGTCCTTTCGTTTTGTTGATGGCTTCCTTTGATGTGCAAAAACTTTTGAATTTAATTAGGTTCCATTTGTTTATTTTTGCTTTTGTTTCCCTTGCCTGAGGAGACAGATCCAAAAATATATTGTTAAGACTTATGTCAGAGAGTGTACTGCCTATGTTTTCTTCTAGGATTTTTATGGTTTTCAGTCTTACATTTAGGTCTTTAGTTCATTTTGAGTTTATTTTTGTATATGATGTGAGAAAATGTTCTGATTTCATTCTTTTACATGTAGCTGTGTTATGCAATCCCTATCAAAATACCTATGATGTTTTTCACACAACTAGAACAAATAATCCTAAAATTTGTATGGAACCACAAAAGACCCCAAATAACAAAGGCAATCTTGAGAAAAAAGAACAAAGCTAGAGGTGTCATGCTCCCTGACTTCAGACTATACTACAAAGCTATAGTAATCAAAACAGTATGGTTATGGCACAAAAATAGACACATAGATCAGTGGAACAGAATAGAGAGCTCAGAAATAAACCCACACACATATGGTCAATTAAGCTATGACAAAGGAGGCAAAAATATACAATGTGGAAAAGACAGCCTCTTCAATAAGTGGTGTTGAGTCAGTTTTACCTTTTTTCATGAATAAGTTATTTGTGTTCCAGGATGACATATGTGATAAAAGTTTGTGTTTAATGAGGGCAAAAGAAGCAAATATTCCATGTGGTTATTATGCCATTTAAGTTAGGGGAGTTTCTCACCAAAGTTTAGAAATGTTTGCACTTAAACAGCATTTAAGAGGTGGATGCAAACTCCACTTCTGCATCAGAGTTTTAGGTCATCAAACTGACCTTTCTTCTGCCTGTGGCATAGCCATCATACATGGCAGTGCAGGGGCAAGCAAAGGGCACCATTGGCCAGCTGCTTTCCACTAGTTCTGCTGCCTCATGGTGTTATGTGGGATAAGGTGCCCTTAAGCTTATTCCTGAAACTGGTCAGTGTGGCTTACATATACTGTTCATCGGAAACATGGTTTTCCACTTGATATTTTACATTTAGAGATTCCTCAGGGGTAAATCTAATTGAAAGTGATATTTTCAAAGGCAGGTTTCTTCAGAGATTAGTCAGCAGAGGTTTAGAGTTGAAGGTTGCTACATGGAAGTGAGATCAACTCTGGGCCTTTGACACGTATTGGACTTAGGTAATCAGTGGGGCTGGGTCGGGGGACATTAGGACAATTCATGCGTAAGGGAGAACGGGACAGTCTTTGCGTAAGGGAGGCTTTAATTTGAGTTTATGATAGCAGATTAGGGCTATGTAGTTCTCGTAGGTTCAGCTCTCTAAGTAATTATGTCATTGCCAAGGTCTGCCAGTTATATCTGAAGGGGGCAGATTGATGCTGCTGTTTTAACTCATTGTTGAAGTGCTGTTTCTTTTCACTAACTGGGTAAAATTTATTACAAAAGGGAAATCTTTGGTCTAGTTCAGCATTGCCAGGCCCTTGCATTTTGTCTTTTTATAAAAGGATGCCAATGATTAGTATCTTCTCTGCAGCATTATGGTAACACTAAATAATTAGAAGTTGAAAATATCCAGCCATTGGGGAATGAGTGGTTAAATAATTTACGGTATATCCTCATTGTGGGATGTTAGTCAAGTGCTAAAAATGAGGTCTGCTTATATGTTGAGATGTAAAAAGAGAACCACAGTATATTGTGAAAAGCAAGATGCAAAAACATGTATATGGTGAGCTATTTTTTTTTTCAGAAGAAAATCATGTATATGTACATAGAAGGTGCTTAGGTAATATTTTATTAAACCCTTATTGTGTGCTAGCACTATGCTCAACACTCAGCATACCCGTGTGATCTCTTGTAGATCTGACAGCAATGCTCTGAGGTAGATAATTATTTAACCTGCTTTAAAGATGAGGAAACAGCAGCCTAGAGAGTGTAGGAAGCCTACCCCAGGGTGCATAGTGGGTTAGAGGCAAAACAGGACTCCAGCCCTGAAGCCTGCACTCCCAGCCACCGTGTTTTGTGCACTTCTTGTTAACATTTATCTGCTGAAAGAGCGTACGGTGGCCTAGTAGTTAGTAGGGATGTCATATGAGACTCATAAGATGGATACTCAACTAGGTGCCTTCCAGATCCTTCCCTCACTCTGCATTTATGTCCAGGCTGCAGAAGCCTCCTGCATACGTTTCTGAAAGTGCCGCTTCTCCGGACCCGACATTGTCCCCTCCATCCCACCCACTCCCCCACCCCCGCCCCATGCCTCTTCGCCCCATGATGCTGTTATTCATTTTGGACTTCAGAGGGCAGTTAGGCTGCTTTGTTTTCTGGCTTCTTGCAAGCTCTAGGAATCTGCACGAGTACTTGAAACTTCATCTTTCTCTTAAAGCACATTTAGAACATAATGGCTGTCGTCGTAAATGCTCGGGTAACCTAGGTCTACAGTTCACATTAAACATTAGCTCACATTGCCTCCAGGTTTGAAACCAGTGTACCCAGAAGAAATTTACAAAAGGACAGTGATGTTGAAATATTTTAAGTGCAAACAGCAGGATTCCTGTGTGTTGACAGGGACAAGGCTATGTTGTCTAAAGTCCCTGTTTGATTCCTCATTTTCCATCCCTTCCCAGTGGCCTCTTCCTCTTTGGACCTTCTGCAGTCTTGTGACTGAGCATTCTAGCTCCCTCTTTGTAAAATGCCTCTGATTAAATGTGTATATGTAAAATCTCTTACTTTATCCCAGAAGACATTGCTTTAATATGGTTTTAATTCCCTGGAGGGATAGTACTCCCACTGTTGACCAGTTGGAAAACTCAAGATTTGGAAAAAAAAAATTTTAAATGCTCATAAGTACAGAGGGGATTTGGTTGCCAGAACTGTTCGTTGGGGCAATTGTGTCCTCCCTTTTGCTTCCCACAGTCCGGTGCTTGATGCACAAGGTTTTGGTTGATTACTTTGTATTGCATTCTAGTGGGAACCAGTTTCTCCACCCATTCTCACTCTCTGTGATCTCAATTCCCTATTGTTCCTTGGGCCTGAGGATGCAGCTAGATCTGAGAGTGGGAGGGAGTGAAGTGAAAGATGCTGTCATTTAGTGTAGGAATTGGTTCAGGATATAATCCTGTCCACTTCTTTTCTTGGTCAAAGCAAAAATAATGCAGGAGTCACGTGAGCAGGATGTTTCTCAAGTGTGTAGGACCAATTTATCATAAGAAGCTTTGGGAAACTGGACTCTGATGATTTCCCCATAATGAATCTGCCTCTCAGGAATCCTTTTCCAAAAATCATTGTTCTCTGTAGCCCGTGTGGATACTTTTTTAACATCTTGCTTGTCAATGTGATTGCCAGCGTCCTAGAGAAGTTGACAGTTTCTGTGATTTCTATGAGCAGAAAAATGTGGGCTCAAAAGCTTTTCCTCTAAATGAATCTGTTGTGTAACATCCAAGCTGACTCAGAATATAGGTGCATACTCTTGCTCTGAGAAGGTAGAAGAAGGGGAAGAGCCCAATTCAGACAAGGTGTGGGCGAGGAGGCAGGGCACCCCAGAGCAAAGGCGTCCTGTGCTGTAATCTCAGCCTAAACCATATCTCTGGGCAGGAGTTTTTTGCTTCCTATTTATTTGTATCCCTGAGTAACCACAGACCCTCGCCTCCAACGTGGGATGTTAACCTTGGTGCACTGAGGAGATGAGCTGCAGAGCTAAAGCAGAGTCCGAGAGGAGCTTCACTTATGCAGAATCTGTACAACCTTCTTTGCCATACATTGGCCACATGCTTAGGACTTGGGAGATGAGAGCTAAGGGCTGAAATTCCTCAAGGTGAGAAGACACACACACACACACACACCCCGGAAGTGGACTCCTCCAATTTTCTCACATGATTATTCAGGCACTTTCACTTTTCCATATATAGGAGTCACTCAGGAGCAAGCTCTGGCCAGTTGGAGGGAGTGACACATCCTTCTCCAGTCCCTCCCTTCTCATCCCTCCGCACCTTTACTCTCACGTGCGCTTGCAGGCACTTAGGCAGAAGTGAGCCCTGTGGCTCTGCGGAGACGAGCCTGTTGGGTTTAAAGAAGGAAACAAACAAACAGAACCCTCAGGCCAAGTCCCAGCATTAAAATTGTTACCTTGAAGAAGCCGAGTGGACAGTTTGAAGAGATGAATGGACCGGTGGATGGCTTGTGTGACCATTCTCTAAGCGAGGAAGGGGCCTTCATGTTCACCTCGGAATCTGTAGGAGAGGGGCACCCGGGTGAGTAGGTGGTCCTGGTTGGATGGTGACCTGCACCGGGGGGTCGCTGTTACTGAAGGCCTGGAAAACGGTGTGGGTCAGTAACTGTAAGGGATCTTGGCAAGAACAATATGCAGTAATTTTTTATTCTGTTAGTTTGCAGTCTTGTAAAACAGTCACTTGTTATTGCAAATAATAGGTTGTAAGTTAACGAAGCCGAGGATCTGTGCCGCAGCCCACCACCAGCATCTCCTCACAGTGGGACTGCGACGGAGAACACACGGATGGTTGGATAAACATGTGTGTAAAATGTATCATCAGGTATTAACGCTATATAGAGAGATTCTTTTTTTTGAGTAAAGCTTTATTATCAATGAGCAGCTTAAGTCAACAGAGAAAGTTCCCGCAAGCAAGACCACGGGTCACTAAGTTTTGCATGTAAAGCATGTGCGGTTTAGAAGTGAACAGCGGTGCGTTCTAAACAGGGGCTGAGACAGATCTCTGGAAGAAAATTCCAGCATTTTATTGGGTCTCTGAAAGGTAGGAGGACTGTGATGTGGGGAAACGAGAGAGGCTTCCGTGAAGACCACAGTGGGAGCCTCAACTTTCTGGGACAGTGGTTCCCAGGCTTCAGGGCGCATCAGCGTCACCCCACGGGCTTGTTAGAACACAACGTACTGGGCTCCACCCCCAGAGTTTCTGATTTAGTAGATCTTGGGTGAGGCTCAAGAATTTGCATTCTTAAGAAGTTCCCAGGCGATGATGCTGCTGCTGATGAGGGAGCCGCACTTTCAGAACCACTGGTCTAGGAGAACCTTGGGGGCCAGACACACTGATTTATGTATTTAAGCACCTCTTCACAATTCGCTGGAGTATTTGAAGTTCTTGGTCACTAATCATCACCAAGTCTAACTTCTTTTCATCTTCCTCATCCTTGTTCTTTCTCAAAGAGCTTTAACTTTCATACCTCGTAGCCCAGCTTGAGATACCTCAGCGCGCTGCTCCTTCCAGATGCTTCAGCCGCTGGTTCTCAGCTGGGGAGGGTGTGCCCTTTTCCCGCAAGGGCATTTTGTGGTGTCTGGAACGTTTTGGCTGTCACAGCTGTCGGGGGGCGGGGTGGGCGTGGGGTGAGACTGGCATTTAGTGGAGAGAGGCCAGGTGTGCTTCTAAACACCCTGCGTGCACAAGACCATCCCCCACAAAGAAGAAATTTTCCAGCCCCAAAGGTCAGTATTGCCATTGAGAAATCTTGGCTTAAACTGAGTGACTTAGCTCAGTTCAATGTAAATAGCATCTTTAATTTACATGTGACTTAGCTCAGTTGTATGTGACTTAGCTCAGTTCAATGTAAATAGCATCTTTAATTCTGCATGACTTTATGAAGTTTCTAGGTTTACTGTACTCATAATCTCAGATCCATTGCTATGTCTAACATATTCTGGACAGCTCCATGACGTACGTATGAAAGCCATATACAGGTTAGGAGATGGCCATAGATAGGATTTGCTCCGTGCGGCGGAAGTGGGTGCTTTGTCACGCAGTGGCCAGTGGTCCCATTGTACACACAACAATGTGCTCAATGGACAGAGAATGAAAATTCCAGCCAATCAGTTGGCTGTTCTGTCTACTTAATGGCAGCCCTTCAATTTGTCTGATTCTCCTTGCGCTTGCCACTATAAATTAGCCATTCATGTTAAGACAGTTTCCTTGGTGGCTTTCTGCTTGTCATTCCAGTGCTGAATTCCTCTCCATCAGAAAGATAAAATTAATGCTTCTTTTTCAACTTCCAAGAAAACCAACTATTGGCTGTCTTAAGACTACTAAGTGATATTGATAGAAATTTCGAAAGCCTCAAGAAAGAGTTCAGAAAGGACCTCCTAAGGCATTATCTTAGTCTGTGAAGCTGTCTTAATACCCTTGCTCAACTCCAGCTTTATCCCTAATATCCCTTATCCTATTTCCCTGTGTGCACTGGAAACATGTGACCTGTGTCGTCTAAACGAGCAGAGTCATCCGTGGTCGTTGTGTGAGTGGCTCCTAGGAGGCCTGATGGCTGGGTCTAAAGTGGACATTTGGGCAGCAGGAGGCCATGATTGGTAGGGGGTTGCAGAGGCATGGACTCAGGCAAACCTAGATTTATGACCAGGATCTGCAGGAAGACAGAAAAACTCAAATATATGTTTAGTAGCAGTTTCTGAAGGAAAGATTAGAGAATTCACCTTCAGATTAACTAACATTTTAACTACAGAACTTAATAGGCACTTTCAAAAGCAGAAATGCTTGATTCTGGACCTGCGTTCTTAATTTAAAAACTTAAAAAACGACAGGAGGGACACAAGGAGATTTTGGAGGTGACGGATGTTTATTAAACCCTGATGGTGGTGATGGTAATACAAGTATGTACATGTGACCAAGCTTAGCAAATTACATACATTAATTATATGCAGATTTTTATATACCAATTATACCCAAATAAAGCTGGAAAAAAACTTATTAATTTACTAAGAGCAGACTCTATGGGTATTTTTGAACACTAAACGAGATGTAATATGTGTAAATAGATGTCACTTTTTTTTCTGAATTTGTGAACATAACGCCAAAGCAAGAGTGGATTTTTCCACAGTGTCTACATACTCGACCATGGGGAGTCTTTTTTAAAAAATTTATTGATTTACTTGTTTTATTTTTGGCTGTGTTGGGTGTTTGTTGCTACATGCAGGCTTTCTCTAGCTGCGGCGAGCGGGGGCTACTCTTTGTTGCGTTGCGCGGGCTTCTCATTGTTGTGGCTTCTCTTGTTGCAGAGCACGGGCTCTAGGCACATGGTCTTCAGTCGTTGTGGCTCGCGGGGTCTAGAGCGCAGGCTTAGTGGTTGTGACGCACGGGCTTAGTTGCTCCGCGGCATGTGGGATCTTCCCGGGCCAGGGCTCGAACCCGTGTCCCCTGCATTGGCAGGCGGATTCTTAACCACTGCGCCACCAGGGAAGCCCCAGGCCATGGGGAGTCTTTAAGGCAAATCGTAGAATAAGATGAAATGCCAGTTCATGTTGGACTCTTTGTCAATCCCACCTTGATTGAGGAGGTCAAACCCAGCTGTTAGGATATCCGGCTTTCAGGAGGCTGAGTGACGGCGGGAAGGATCTGAGAGCTGCTTGTGGAAGTATTCTGCAAAACAGCAGTGGCAGTAATGTGCAGAGGTTCTCTTACGCGATTCTTACAGGTGTAGTCCCAGAACCGGGTGTGGTATTTTCTACACAGCGCACTGCATCTTGCGGGACCAGCGGTACCATGTGTCTGTCCCATCCTAGTCCGCCTCTTGGCACCTAATCTTACTGATGTCATCAGTTAGTATTTTAACTTCTGTTTCTAGGACTTTTCTAGATGTTAGAATTAAAGGGAATATGCTGAGGGATGAGATACTTTTTAGTTAGAAGAATATGCGTGTGTGTGTGTGAATTGCTTTAGGCTCTTGTAACTGGTTTTGGAATATATTTCTCTTTTTAGGGAATTTTATGACTTTATATAATATACATCATCCAATATTAAGGCAGAAATGGGAAGAAATTAAAATTCCAAAAAATTTATAATTTCTTATATTTAAAAAGTGTCCTCTTAGGTAGATTCGATATGTAAACTGACGAAGTATCTAATTATTTTAACATTTCAGTTTGCTAGGCTTAATATTCCTGTGATTCTTACACATGTTCATTCTCTTCCAGATAAGATCTGTGACCAGATCAGCGATGCAGTGCTGGATGCGCACCTCAAGCAGGACCCCAGTGCCAAGGTGGCCTGCGGTAAGAAACGCCTAATCCCTCCTGCTGGAGACCTGAGTGGGCTGAGCTTGAAACCTTTGCCTGTGTTGAAGTCTTCAGCACAGCAGAGAGCCGGGGGCTTCAGAGCCTGGAGGGCTCCAGGGGTGGTAGGTCTAGCCCCCTCACTTTACTGAGGAGATCTTGGGTGCAGCTTAATCAGGGCCTTGGCCAAGGTCATGGGGTAGGGGTCCCGGCGTGGAGATCAGAGCCCCGATCTCCTCACGGTCAGCACCCTGTCCTTTTTGCTGTACAGACCCGCCCTTCCCTCTCCAGGGCCACCCTAGCCCCCAGAATGAGCACTGTAGGGACCCGTGCCCCTCTGAGGGTGGACTTCACCCTGACATCTTTACAAATAACGTGCCTTGATTCTCTGCTCAGGACCCCATGCCTAAAGCCTGCAGTGGAGTTTTAGCAATAAGGGGGCGGGAGAGGCCTCACGTATGTTGGCTGCATTCTGCATTCTCTATGACCGCATACAGCCAGCGTCTCATTCTAATCCCCAAAGCAGTCTTATGATTATCTTCACCCAACAGCTGAGGCTGAATAAGTAGTTCAGGGTCAGGCAAGTGTGCAACAGTAAGTGTGAGGTATGAAAACTCGGGTGTGACCAATTCTCTGCGAGTCGCAGTTCTCCGGGTGGCCTGTGAAGATGGTCAGCACTTGTGCCGGGATTTACTCTCCTTATTAGCGTCATGAGTTTTCCTTCTGGAGTCCATTCCTTGTGCGGCTCCTTGCGTGTCTCTGTCTCAGCACTGTGAGAGGTCCAGGTGTGGAGCCCCCTTCGCCAGCACATGGCCACTAACATGTCTCCTTCCCTTCAGAGACGGTGTGTAAGACGGGCATGGTGCTGCTGTGCGGGGAGATCACCTCCATGGCCATGGTGGACTACCAGCGGGTGGTACGGGACACCATCAAGCACATCGGCTACGACGACTCGGCCAAGGGTGAGGCCAGGGCCCCAGGGCTGAGTCCCACCTGAGGCTCTCCGTCTCCTGGAGGAGCAGATACCTCCCAGGGGAAGAACGCTCCTAGGCCTGCCTGCCAGGGTCCAGGGCTCCCAGCCTCTGGCACGACAGTGTGGCAGCCCAGGGGGATCAGCCCCTGTCCAGCCATGGCTGCCTCTGGGCTTGTTTATGGTCCTGCCATCTTGGAAGAGGAGGAAGCTCCCAGTACAAGGAGCTGCCCTCTGCTGGGGCCGTGTTCTCTGCCGGGCTCTGGGGCTGGTCTCTGTGTGCATCTTCCTACCTAACTGTTCAAGGAGCTGCTCTGCTCCTTATGCAGATGAGGAAGTTGAAGCTTCCATATGTCGGTAACTTGTGTAAGGTGACACGATCAGTAAGTGGCTGCCCCCCCGCCCCGGTTGGGACTCCTGCACTTTCTACTAAGTTATGCTGCTTCCCCACATAGACAAAGAAGAAGGTGACTCAGTCCAGAACGGGTGCCGAAAGCAGGCAGAGGAGACAGGCTGGCCCAGGGTAGCTCCGGTGCCAGGCAGTGTGGGAGCCTACGACCCAGCAAAGGGGCCCAGGCCCTGGCGGGAGCTGAGGAAGAGCTCTGTGATGGGGTGGGGGTGAGAGCTGGAGAGAACTGAGGGCCCTGAAGCAGACTCCCACACCGGGGACCGGGCAGGCTGGGAAGGGGCCCAGCCTGGAGGGCGTGAAAAGACAGGGTGCGAGGGCCAGATGCTAGGGCCAGTGTACACTACGTTGTACTTATGGGTTGTTTGGGCTGACGTGTGGCATCTTTGTGGGTCAGGGCAGGCTGGGGTGACGTGCACGCATCTCCATAAGTGAGAGAGGCGCTCTCTGCGTGAGGGCGCAGACACACAGAAGCTCGGTGCAGCCACCTTCTGGCTCGCTCCGAGGACTCGCTTGAGCACACGAAAGTATATCAAGAATCGCTGGGAGGAAGCCCGTGAGTACAGGTCGGTTCTCCCAGCCAGCACGTGGGGTGTCCGCGGAGGAGACGCGTCGTCCCAGAGCAGCAGCCTCCTGACGCGTTACCACGCAGAGCCTTCGCCCTGTTCTACCAGGAAGAGCCGACTTGTTTATGTACACTTAGACCTTGTTCAAGAGCGAACCTTGCTCTGCGTTAGGCAGCAGGAACGTTTCCCGGAGGTACAACGTCCCCCGGAAAGGGAGGCGTGGGAGCGCGCCCACCTGTGCCTGTCAGTGCGCCTGCACCAAGCGGCCAGCAGGCTGCGGGCTGGCCTGCAGCCACAAGGCCCTAGGCTAGTGGCTCCCCCTGCCCCTTCCAAGCCCTCCTCCTCTCCCCTTAGTCCCCTGAACTCTGTTCTCCTGAGTCACTTGGAGCCTTTAATTTTCAGCGCTAAGAAGATTTATTATTTAGACCCGGAGCGAGGAGGTGAGTCCTCGGCAGCTAAAGATTGTTCCGTGAAGGTTGTTCCTTGGTTTGTACATTCAGAAACGTGCACTGCGAACAGGGGCTGCAGAGGACAGAGGTGGCCTGATGGCTCCTGAGCGGGAGCACTGCCTAGCATTAGTGATACAGTACAGGGTGCCCGGCGGACAGTCGGAGGCAGAGTGTGCAGTGAAGAGCTGCGGGGGGGACCGTCCAAGGACATTTTCAGAGAGCTAGATGGACTTGTGGAGGGGGATGGGAGGCAGAGGAGGAGCATTCTAGGCAGAGAGCCCTAGTGGAGGTGGCAGAGGAGGTTGTGTTTAAGGCTAAGCCCGAGATCCCGTGGGCTGAGAGCTCTCAGCCTGGAAGGCCTGGCTGCAGCTGAACGGTTTCCGGTTTACTTCCTTTGGCGGCAGGTCCCCGCTTGAAGCATGAGCATAAACGATAGCTCGAACCTAGGCTTTTTTGTGGTTTTGTTTGTTTTAATAAGCCCATTCTGGCCACATGGGTAGGACAGACTGGAAAGAGGGTGACAGTCATCTCGTCACTGATACGTGTCCCTGTGGTGAGGCCTCTGTGCGTTTTAGCTCCTCATTTGTGTCCGTCCTGTAGCTGAGCCCAGTGAGGACCAGTGTCGGAGAGGTTGTGCTGTCTGCCCGGCGGCTCCCTCGCAGGGCTCCTTGGCCTGGGCTGCTGCTACCCAGGACTCCACGTCCCAGGCCCCAGCCCGCTGTGCCCACCTGCGGGGGACTGGCCTCCATCTCTGTGCTTGAGCTTTGGGGATGGCCTGAAGGGGCCTCGGCCTCCAGAGGTGTGGTTTTTCCATTTTGCTCCAGGCCGCGGGCCCGTCTTGGGCTCAGGGGACTCTGGCTCTGGGAGTGTCTCTGGATGGTTCACATGCACCGTATTGTTCAGTGTATTTGATGCTTGGGTTTGGCGTGTGCCTGGGCTTTTGAAAGGGCCCTTGATGTTCATTCAGTGCAGTGATTTTCCACCTGGGTCCTGGGAGGTGCCTCTGGGAGAGGCAAAGGGGGCAGGGCTGTGAGTCACCCACCTGCCCTTCAGCCAGGGCAGCTGTAGCTGCTATTTGGTCTTCATACTGCCGCTCTGTGTAGGATATATATTTTTAATCGAGGTGTAATTTAATACTCTGTGGAGGATTTTTTTTGACTGAAGAGTTGCACGTGATAGGATGGGAAGGATACTGATGTTCCCCGTCCTGGGCCTCAGCTCTGGGCCCAGACGGATGGTAGAGAGACCACCCACGCCGCTAAATGCCCTGTCGTGTGCCAAGCAGTCCCCCAGGAGCTCCAGCCTCCCTCTGCTCAGGCCTGCTCTCCTTGTGCCTAGGCTTTGACTTCAAGACCTGCAACGTGCTGGTGGCTTTGGAGCAGCAGTCCCCGGATATTGCCCAGTGTGTCCATCTGGACAGAAACGAAGAGGATGTCGGTGCCGGAGATCAGGTCACTAAACGCTGAGCGTTGGCCCTGCGTCAGGACGGTAGTGCAGTGTGCTCTGTGTGAGGGGCTAGCCGGGGAAGTTCATGCGTAATGGACTGAATGCACTATGGGGTAGACCCCCGTCCCCATGCCTGGAGTGAGTCACCCCTTCTTCAGGGTAGTGACTTGAGGGCAGGGAGGGTTGGGGACACCCGGTGTGGGCTTGTCTCCCCTTCTAGAGTGTTGAGTTCGGGGACCACGTCTTCCCCTCCACAAGTGCCCAGTGCTAAAGTTACATACCCGCGAGGATGGAGGGCCATTGGGGCTTTAGATTTGAGGAGGGTTGTTGCCTGTGGTCTGAAGCAGGTGTCTGCTGCAGGGCCTGATGTTCGGCTACGCCACAGACGAGACGGAGGAGTGCATGCCCCTCACCATCATCCTGGCGCACAGACTCAACGCCCGCATGGCGGAACTGCGGCGCTCGGGGCAGCTCCCCTGGCTGCGGCCTGACTCCAAGACGCAGGTGAGCCCCTGCCCTCCGCCCCCTGTGGGGCTCCAGACGCGTGCCTCAAACACCACCCCCCTTCCTCTTGATACTGATCGTTGTTAGATCCAAATGTTCCATCTGGGCATTCAAAGAATTGTTGATTCTGAAAAGAACTATTTGTTTCAAAAATCTTCAGCTCCAGATCTTTTCTCCCCTGACCCCAACACTTTATTATGAAAAATTTCAGAAGACACAGAAAAATGAAAAGAGCAGTTCTAGGTTTTTAGTGCGGGGGCTTTCTTAGCATAAGTTGACTCTAGTAATATGATTCCCCAATTCCTGCCACAAACCTCCTCTGTAACAGGTTTCAGACTTTCGGTCGCTGCCTATCAGGTCTCCACGTCTTGAGCAAACCTTGAACACGCCGTGAACAAGTACTGTCTGCAGCTCGCTGTGGCCCTTTCGCTTTGTTTCTCATAAAAAGGCTTTGCCGATTCTGACTCTCTGTGGCAAAGCCGCCCTGACCCCTGTGCTCCCTGCAGTGAAGAAATCCGCACCGACGTCTGTATTGTTTGAAGGCCGGTGGTGATGCATGTGTTGGCACACGCAGAGGCCTCCTGTCCGCCTCCTCTCCCCGCACCCTGACGGCCTCGATGGCCCCTCTCCTCAAGGCTTCCTTCCCCAGCTCCTCTTCCACACTCCAGCGGGGTCCTGGCACTTCCTCTTCCACGCTCTTTCCTCCTGCCCACGCTTGTGAATCCAGCCTTCACCTCTGCACGCTCCGCTTCCAGATCTTCCCCCTGCAGGTCTAACTGAATCACCAGCCCCATTTCTCATTCACCCAGCAAACACCCGGGCCCCGGGAGCTCTCCTCAGCTGAAGGAGTGTGATGGAGCCCACCCTTCCCGGCCCTGTCTGTCTCCACTCTACCTGGGCTCCCGTTTTCCCTCTAGTGCATCCCTTCCGCTCCGGCCCCATTTCCCAGGCCAGGCCCAGGAACAGTGCTGTGTCCTCCCAGAGGTTCTCCCTGCCTGGAAACTTCAGTTAATTCGCTTTGGGCTTCACTTTTAATTTCCTTGTATCTGCTCAGAATTGTCTACAACTTTCTGCTTCCCTCCTACTCGTTATTCTGGTATTTAACACCTTGTATGGTCTTCCAGCTTTACCTTCTTCTGTCCCCACCCCCAGTCTTTGCTTAAACCATATCGTTTCACTCACGCTCCCCTTTTTTCTCGGTGCTTTGCACCTGCGCTCCCACACTTCGTCTTCCTTGGAAGCTTTCTCTGGCCTCCACCTGTCCGTCAGTGGCCAGCGTGGTTCCCACCTCCTCATGGTCTTCTCTGGCCGCCCTCAGGTGGGACCTCCTCTTGACCCCGCACTTGGAATTTGGCTCACGTGGTTTTATAGCTCAGTGCGGTGCACGCAACTCTGTCCCGTTCCTCCAGCTTCACAGAGGTACATCCTTCTCACCGCAAGTGTAAGGCCACACAAGGCAGAAGTTGCATATCGGCCGTACCTGGGGCAAGGGAGTACCTCTGTGGCCTAAAAGAAACCCACCCTTGGGACTTCTGGTGTTATCCACATGACCCCCAAGGTGAGAAGTGGAACCATGAGCATCCCTCAGGTGTTCTTTGAGGTTGTGGGCAGGAGAGCTAAAACATGTAGACTGTGATGGTACCGAAAGAAAAGAGCCCTCCCCGTCCTGTGGCAGAGCTGTGCTGTGATGGGAAGCAGGTTGGAGATTCACAGAAAAGGAAATCCTAGAACAGGGATGGGAGGAAGTAAGTGGGGTGACTCGGGTTTCCTTCTCCCCGCCTGAGGGTAAGGACTAGAGGGTCCACCTACTGGACCCGCTGAAATAGGAAAGGCCTCCTGTATTTGCTTAGTAATAGAACGTTTCTGAGTTCAGAAGGCAGTGAGGGAGGGAGGGGAGGATGGGCTCTTCCAGGCATTCCCTTCTTGCAAGGAGACACTGAATTCTCTTACAAATGCTACTTTGGATACCAGTCGGCCTCACTCCCCTGCCGCAGGCAGGCCCTGAGCCAGCGGGCATCAGAGAGGGTGCGGGGGTCTGCTGACGGAGCCTCTCCCTGAGGCCCTCGGCCGGCCTCCACGCGGCTGCTGCGCTGGGACGGGCACCCTGCCAGGAACAGTGTCTGGGCCTTCTCCTCTATACCTTACTGGTAAAGGATTTTCATCATCTACCCAGAGTGTCGACTGTGAACAGGAGGAGCCTTTCCACCTGAGCAAATTCTTGCTGCTGATACTGAGAATTGAGTGGCAGCACGGATGGCTGTTTTTGTACCTGGCCAGAGTTGTGTTTTCCACGGTGTACTTTTCCCCACATCTTGCTGACGTGATGAGATAAGAGCGATGCTTGGGGCCCTTTGCTCTGCCACAGCTCTGCTTGGGGTTTGTGGCAGGGCAGGGGAGTCAGTAGCAGTGGAGATGGGCCTCAGCAGCTGCGCAGGATAGGAGCCTTCTCCTGAGGCCAGGTGCAGCAGGTCTGGTCCCAGAGCCGCCACAGGGCCTCCCCTCTGGAGCCCGCCAAGCCCCCACCTCCAGCTCCCTCTCACAGGGCCCTGTGTGCACGCGGCCCAGCATTAAAGGGCTGCTCTCAGAGCACAGGCGGTGTGCGTCTGCCCATCTCACTAGGATCAGGCATCGTGGGGTCAGGGCTCTTTCCCTTCCTTCTTCTGGATCCCACCCTTTGGCTCTTTGGACCAGGCAGGACATAGAGTAGAGTTTGATACACGTCCCATGTTTGATGGATATCTGAGGGGCCTTTGGGCAGGCCGGGACCTCGCCTCAGGCATAGCCCCAGGGGCCACTGTTTGCTGCCCTGGGGTCCTGTCAAGGCCCTTGGGTGGGGAGCAGTCATGTGCCTGCCGGCCAGTGTCCCTGCCAGACCATGCAGCATAGCTGCACTCCTGCAGGCGCACAGCCCCTCTGGGCACTGCCCTTGTGGGTCCATGCTGCCTCGGGTAGTGACGGGGCCTGTGGCTCCAGCCTTGAGGGTCTCGGGTGACGACCTTGTGCTGGGCAGAGCTGCAGGCACCAGGCCGCACGGCGCACGGTCACAGCCCACCTCTGCTGGCTGTGCGATCTTGAGCTCTAGAGTGTTTATGTTCTGGAAGCTCAGCTTTCTTGTCTTTAAAGTGGGGCTGGTGACAGCTTCTCACAGCTTGTGGCATGGCTTGTCGCGTACGGTACACACTCGGTCTGGCTGAGTGTGTTTTGCTGGCTTCTCTTTTCTTTTCCCAGCCTCATCTGCCATCCTCACCATCCCTTTCCCTCTCACTCTGTAAGCCCAGGGTGCCCAGGCTGCTCTCCTTCGTCACCGGACAGATCAGGCTGTGATGTCGGGCTCTCGCGCCCTCCTGATGTGTCGGTAGAGGACAGAGTGCGGAGGCAATTTCTCTGTGCTGCTCTGGGCGGGACACAGCGTTGGGGGCAGGCAGAGCAGTGTTGGCTCCTGGGCTTTTCACCGACTGGTGTGTGACTTCAGGGAAGTTGTTTCACTTCTCAGAGCCTGGTCTTCCTCATTTGTAAAGTGGAGACAGTAATGCCGATCTTGCTGGGATGGTTTAAATGTTCATCGGTAATACATAGAGTGGGCACAGAACTGACCCGCGCTGGAGGGAGTGAACCCCCGCTCTGTCCCTGTGGCCTGCCCTGCGCGGGAGCTGCAGGCAGGATCCTTCCCTCCACGTGCTCTGCTTTTCCTTTTGTGCAGACACACAGAGGCTGGTGACCCAGAGCTTGCTGCTCCCTCCACTTCAGTCCTCCTGGCTCGAGTCCCTGTCACCCTGTCCCCCCAGCAGGCAAGGCCTCTGGCCCCATATGCTTCCAGAGCTCCTCCACCGAGGGGCCCGGGGCAGTGGGCGTGTGGCCTGTGGACTCCTGTGTTCCTTGGTGGGAGCCGGGGTGTCTTGGGCCTGGGCCACGGAGGGTCAAGACAGGGCTTTGGCAGAGGGACATTTTCTGGCACCCAGAGCCCTCTGAGGTAGGAGGAGTGGAGTCTAGTGGGTCACAGAGCGGAAACTCTGTGACACCCGAGTCTCCAGGTGGCACTGATTGTGGTCACAGGTGGGAATAGCTTGTGCCTCGTGCCCAGTCATCTCACAGCGCCAGGCAGTTATCCAGTTTAAGAATGTGGCAGATGAACTTGCCTGAAGGCCCTTTGGGTACAGGGGGTCCCTCTGGCTCCTGGGAGCCCTGCCTGCCTCCTGGGCACCTGCGCCTGGCAGCAGCGTGTCCTCAGCTCAGGGCAGGGCCTCACGACGTTTCCTCCCTCCCTGCCCCCCGCCAGGTGACAGTGCAGTACACGCAGGAGCGCGGCGCGGTCATCCCCGTGCGCATCCACACCATCGTCATCTCCGTGCAGCACAACGAAGACGTCACGCTGGAGGACATGCGCAGGGCGCTGAAGGAGCAGGTGATCAGGGCCGTGGTGCCGGCCCAGTACCTGGACAAGGACACCATCTACCACCTGCAGCCCAGCGGGCGGTTTGTCATCGGAGGCCCCCAGGTGCGTCCTCGGCTCTGCGTGAGGCCCTGCCGTTGCTCACCTCCCTGAGTGCAAAGGCCACGGGAGGGTGCTGGCTTTGTGTGGCTCGGCCAGGTGGGTCTGGCCCTGACGGAATGTGAAGTCAGCTTGTTCTGTGAAGCCTGCTGTGCGCCCTTGAGTACAGGAGGATGGGGACATGTCCCCAGGAGGCTCCCCCTCAGTGCTGCCTGGCCCTCCCTCTCGAGACGTCTCACACGTGTCCAGCTGCCGCCTGACCCTGCCCGGGGCTAACTCACCATCATGGGCGCTGAGCTTGCCCGGGTGGCGCTTCCTGGGTCTCGGCCACGCGTGACCTGCAGCTCTTGTGGGCACCAAGGTGGGGCTGTGTTTTAGATGGGGACGTGGGGGGGGGGGCCCTTTCTCCTGTGCAGCCGGCGTGAGCAGTCGGAGAGTGCCCTAGACCCTCCGAGAGGCTGCTGACCACCGCCGGGGCACCTCCCTGTGGACGTGTTGCCGCAAAGCGGAGTCCCTGGGTTGGGTGCTCTAGCCAAAGTAGCGCAGAAACCCAGGGTGAAAGGAAGGCACAGCTCACTGTGTTTTCCTGCAGGACTTCTCAGGGCCTCGGCATGCTGCTGTGAACTGTGGATCTCTAAGCGGGGCAGGGGGGGATGGTATAGTACGCAGACTTCCCCCACATCATTTAACAGAGAAACATAGAGACCCCCCCCGCCCCCAAACGTCTTTGTTGACAGAGATGCACAGAGCAGACACTTGAGGAAACGGGCAACTTAACGTTTGCCGGGTGGCACCAGCCGGGGCACAGCCCGGGGTGTATTTGCCACAGCGCGGTTTCCTCCTGCACTTAGATTTCTCCGTTATGATCGACTCCTACAAACAAAGGCTTTACGAGCGGGCTGTGACCCCAGCTGGCCCACCTTTTGCCCTTTCTGACGAGGCTCTGACAGGTGACCTGACTTCTGTGACTAGTCAGTGATTGAACTGGGATTAGAGCCCAGGGTTTCTGGCTGACTCCAGCCAAGGGGTCTTTGGAACGTGTGCCCCCAGAAGCTTCGGGGACCACCTCCAAGTTGTGGTCCAGCGGCCACTGCAGTGCTTTGGCCGCCCCCTCCTCCCACATCCTCCCTCTGTGTCTTCCTTTCCCTCCACAGGGGGATGCAGGAGTCACTGGCCGTAAGATCATTGTGGACACCTATGGCGGCTGGGGGGCGCACGGCGGGGGCGCCTTCTCCGGGAAGGACTACACCAAGGTGGACCGCTCGGCCGCGTATGCTGCCCGCTGGGTGGCCAAGTCCCTGGTGAAGGCGGGGCTCTGCCGGAGAGTGCTTGTGCAGGTGGGTCGGAGCCCCCCGGCTCGGACCCCCAGGTCTACCCTGAGTAAGGGCACCCTGGCCTAGGGGAAGGCCCACACTTTGCCGGAGGATACGACTCTGTGTGTGTCGTGTTGGGCTCTGTGGCCGGTGCCCTGCAAACCTGGGAGCGGGAAAACAAGTCTTCAGGCAGCGGGGCACGTACAGAAACTGCCCACCGTGAAGATGGCAGGGATTTCTAGGCAGATGGGGGGCTGGGGGAACGTGTTGGGCAGGGCGTGTGTGGTTTCAGCATCCCCTCCCTGAGGATGTCAGGGTCTCTGCAAGGGGCCCGTCCTTGACCCTGGACTCTTCTGGAAGGTGTCCTATGCCATTGGTGTGGCCGAGCCACTGTCCATTTCCATCTTCACCTACGGAACGTCCCAGAAGACAGAGAGAGAGCTGCTGGATGTGGTCAACAAGAACTTCGACCTTCGGCCTGGCGTCATCGTCAGGTAAAAGGACCGCCCCCTCTGTTGGGCAGGACCCTCTTCCCTCACCCGGTGCTCAGCTCACTGGAAAGGGCAGCAGAAGGGAGGATGTTCAGCCTCCCAGAAGCAGGAGGGGCTTCTGGCTCTTGGTCCAGCACAGTGCAAACCCCAAATGCAGGATGTCTGGTTTTCAGGTTGAAGGCGGCTGGGTCGGGTCCCTGCTGGCCCAGCAGACCCTGACCCCAGGGGGGCCATCTTTGAGCAGGTGGGGGATCTTAGGAAAATAATCACAAGGCCGTTGGCTGGGAATTTAGTCGGCAAGTCCAGCCCCACCTGCTCTCGTTTCTGATGCCACCCCTGCTGCCTGGAGCTTGGCGGTGTTGATGTCGGTCTGGGCCAAGTGAGTGGAGTGGAGAGTAGGCCAGAGTTCACATCCCTGGTTCCTGCTGCATTTGTGTGGTCAGTCGGGCTGTCCCTGAACTCTGAGCCTGTTTGCTAAGCACCAGTGGCAGTCACCTCGTAAGACGTGTCATGGCGGAGACAGAACACTTAGAGGGAGTTAGTTGTTCTCGGGTGGGTAACACCACCACACAGACTGTCGTCGTCTCTTAATTGCTCCTGTGCCCAAATTCACAGGAAGAAACTCTGCTCCTTTTCCATTAGAAATGACCTTTTTTCTGCTGAACACACAGGGACTTGGATTTGAAGAAGCCCATCTACCAGAAGACGGCATGCTACGGCCATTTCGGAAGAAGCGAGTTCCCCTGGGAAGTTCCGAAAAAGCTTGTGTTTTAGTGCTGGTGGGACCAGGCCTGGCCGCACCGTGGAGGCATCTGGGTGGAACAGAGCCGTGTTCCTCTTTTCTAGGACCCCAACTCTCAGATCTCCCGGACCCCGGGCTGGGCCTTGCCCACCTACTGCCGCCTCCTTGGCAAAGCCAGGCCCCTCTGATTTAGCAGGAGGAGGGGGCCTCCTGGTACCGGGCTCAGATCTCCTCGTGAGGACAGTCACGAGGTTCCCCTGCCTCTCCCTCAGGCCAAGACGATGCGAATTTAGTGGAAATCCCACCCATGGTCGGCAGTAAATCCCCTCGCTCACCTTCCGCCACGGCCTGGACGCTGACCAGCCCCTGCCTCCCTGGCGTGTGCCGAGGGCAGCACACGGCACAGATCTCAGGGCTCCGTGTGGGCCTGGGTGTGCCGGGGCTGCCCCTCACGTCTGCGGCCATGCGGTCAGCGTCCTGAGCCCAGGCCTTCCAGAGGCCCTCCCAGGCTGGGTTTGTGGCAGGGGTGAGAGCGTCTAGTGTGTAAGGGACTGAACTACTCACTGATCTCATTTCTTCTTCACTGCAACACAGTGAGGTGACCCCCTGTGTTACCTGCATGTATAGATGGGGAAGCCGAAGTAGCTTTCACAAGGCTAGATGTGAGAGTGGGAGCCCATACACCGTGTCTCCCCCTGCCAGCACCCCCATCTCATGCCAGAGACAGGTCTGAGCGATGACCAAGTGCATTGAGATGAGGCTGTGACCTCTGTCCTGAAGACTTGAGGTCTCTGGGAATTAGGGGATTAAGCCCTTGGTGAGCCCTGGGCCATGATCGGCAGAGTCAGGACAGACCCAGAGGGGTGTTTCCTTTGCCTCTTTCATTTCAGAAGACAGTTCGGGGTGCGCTGGCTATCCTGGCCCACGGGGCTGGGCTGGAGTTGGGAATTAAGAGGCAGCGGTATAATCCCAGCCCTGACCACTCAGGGACATGCAGGGCTGGGCCTGTGGACCCCTGGGGAAAGGGTCCAAGGCCAGTCCTGTCCCATCGGGCTTCCTAGAGCAGGAGCCGTGTTCCTCCTGCTTGGCCCTTAAACAGGGGGTGGAACCCTGTGTCCTCCACGGCTCGCTCTCTCTCTGGCCCCTCTGTAACCCCTGCAGTCTGACTGCTGTAGGATCAGTGGGTGAGCCCCTCAGACCCCACTTCCAGAGAGGACAGCCCTAAGGCCTGAATATCAAATGTTAAATGGTGACTCAAAGTGGCAGGGCTTGACTCCTAATGGGAGATAAGTCAGGATGTCAAGAGGCGGCTTCTGCCTTTACCAGGCAGCCTCTGGGGGCAGCTCTACCCCTGAGGTCCTGGTGCTCCTTTGCGCACCGGGGTCTTGGAAGCTGCACATTCCCCAGCCTTTCCATCTGTGGCTGGTAGCCACTCCCCCCATCCCCCTTCCTCAGCCTGGGCCTCTGACAGCTGCACCTCTACGTTCTCCCCAGCTCCCCAGACCACAGGCTCAGGTAGGGGCCTCCATGGGCTTCTGGAGAGCACTGGGGACTGGCCTTCTTTCTGGGGCACACGGTGCTGGATCTGGCTGGGAGACACAGCCCGGGAAGCCTCATCTGGGTGGCAGGCGGCCAGCAGCTGGGCTCTAGGCCTGAAGCACGAAGACCCTCGGCTTTCTCTTCCCCTCAGGGAAAAGGCAGCTTGTTCAGGGCAGAGAAAGAAGCCCAGATCTCCATAAAAGCCTAGAGCTGGTGTGTGTGATACGGAAGCTCAGGTCTCTCTCAGGGCTCCAGGTCACCCAGGAAGTCTTGAGTTCCTTTCGGGAGAGGGAGGCTCAGCCTTGCAGGTGGCTGAGTTCCTCTAACTTGGGCCATATTCGAAGTGAAAATTCAGAATTTTATACTTTTCCCACCCGCTGGAGAAACAAGGTTTTTTTGGGTCAACACTGTTTATATGAAACTAGAGTCTATTTGTTAATAGTTCCTGCTAAACCGGTGAATAAAGAACACAAGGAGCAACTACTCTATGCTTAGTTTTTGTCTGCAACCCCCTAGAAACCTCCCCTCCAAGTAACATTACCTGATCCCCGTCCCGCAGCGAAGCAGGTGTCCTGCCCTCAGGGTTTGCCAGCCAGGGTCCCTCCGATCCCGTGCGTGCGGGGTCCAGCCAGCACAGGTTAAGGCGTTTCGTGCCACCTCCTGCGGCATCACTGCATTACCGTATTCATTCTGCAGCACGCCGCCCAGAGGTAGGCATTCCTAGCAAACCCACGTCACACGTGGAGACCCTGAGACCCGAAGTGGGATGGGAGTGTGGCCGAGGGCACGAGGCTGGCAGGTGGCTTCAGAGTGTGCCCCCCCATCATCTGACATTTGTGCCCCTTGTCCTCACCTGGTTCCTTCTGCTGCCCCTCCCTGCGTGTTGTCTGCAGTAAGCCTGGCACGAGGCGGGCGCTCATGCAGTATTTGTCAGCCGGTTCAGTGACTGAAGTGAGGTGAGTGATGAAGGGGGTTGGTTGGCAGAGAGACGAGCCAGGCCTTCAGTGGGTGCACGTTTCCCTTCACACGTCTCGTGAGGAGAGTTAACAGACCATCGTTTGGATGAGAGATTGTCCCCGCAGGAGCCCCCGGAGAGGTCGTCCTGGGGCATGGTCAGAGCAGGCGGTGGGGAGGGGGTCAGCTCTGGGGAAACGTCCGGAGGAGGGGGAGACTGCGGAAAGAGGTTTCTGGTGACACACCGGCGCAAGACAGGCTGACCAGGGCGCCAGGAAGGACAGACCTGGGAGTGCGGCAGAGAGAGGAGACCTGTGCTCTAGAGGCTATTGCCTGGGCTGTGCAATGACTACATTTCCTAGAAAATAATACACATGAGAACACATAAGTAAAAAGATGCACGTGAGCCGTGTTAGGATATGTGCCCGGGAGGGAAGGTGGTAGAAGAACGGCTCTGTAGGATCAAAGGCCGAATAATTAGTGAGAGCATGGAGGGGAAGCCCTTTCTGAGCCATGAAGTTCCCAAGTGTCAAGGTGTCAGGGAAATGAAATAGCAAAGGAGACAGGAAGGGAGCCGCGGGGGGCGGGGAGATGAGGGAGGGGAAGCCAGGAGAGTTGTGGGAGTGGGGAGCGTCCTTCGGAGCTAAGCGAAGATGAGTGCGGGTCGCCCACGTGGAATGACACCAGTGGCTTACGTGACATGAGGCCTCCGAGTGCCCAGGGACTTCAGCCACATGGAGGTTGTCGGTGACCTGGGGAAAGGAGACTCCTTAAAATAATGTGGCCGTGTTTCGCACCCCAGTTGTAATCCTTGAGTACCTCTAATACACCAGGTATTAGCTGTCAGTGTCCCATGTGCCTGCCCACTACCCATCTGTCTGCCCTCATTCTGGGCTCTCCCACCACCCCACTCCAGACTCCCTGGCTTCTCTGGCTTCACCAAACAGGCCCCACTCACTCCTGCCCCAGGACCTTTGCAAATGCCGTTCTTTCTGTGATACACTTCTGTCTTTGGAGGGATGCTCTGTCTCATCCTGTAGGTTTCAGATGAAATTTCTCTTTCTGAAAAACCCCTTCCTTGGTCACCTCCCCTTTCTACTCCCATGTTTTGTTTCTTGTTCAGTGTGTATAATGTGTAAATATGTGATTTCCTCGTTTAACCTTGGGGCCCAAACCCCTCGTGTCTCCTTCTCTACCCACCCACCCTCTCGTCTCTTCACAGGTGGTTCCTCCGAACCCTTCCAGTCTCCGTTTACTAATCACCCTCCAGAAAGACTCTCCCAAACATCCTCCATAAATGATGGCCATCTTACTCTGGTCCTGAGCCATCAAAAGCTGTAACTCCTTGTGGGTGGCAGTGCTTGCTTGTTCATGCCTGTCGCATCCATGGGACTCAGAATTCTTTTATTCATTTATTCATTTATGTATGTATGTATGTATGTATGTATGTATGTATGGCTGCATTGGGTCTTTGTTGCTGTGTGCGGGCTTTCTCTAGTTCTGGTGAGCAGGGGCTATTCGTTGCGGGGCGCGGCAGTGGCTTGTTGCAGAGCACGGGCTTTAGGCACATGGGCTTCAGGAGTTGTGGCTCGCAGGCTCTGGAGCGCAGGCTCAGTAGTTGTGGCGCACAGGTTTAGTTGCTCCGCAGCATGTGGGATCTTCCCGGACCAGGGCTCGAACCCGTGTCCCCTGCATTGGCAGGCGGATTCTTAGCCACTGCACCATCAGGGAAGCCCCAGACTCAGAATTCTTGAGGTCTTGCCTTGGCTGCTTTGTTTGCCATTTCATACGTGGCTCCAGTGCAGGGCCTGGCACAGAGAAGGTGCTCGATGTAGTCATATCAGGATGAATCCTAGGTGTGCTCATCTCTCCTGCTCCCTGAGCTCCCCTCATCAAAGAGGTTCTGCAGGCGCTGAGAATCCTGCTTGCCCTCCGGTGGGTTCTGTGCCAGGCTCAGGTGCCCAGAGATGTAGATGTAGATTACCATCCTTCATCAGGGTTGTGTGGGGGTTTTTTGGGGGTTGTTTTGGTTTTTTGTATGTGTGTGTGTGTGTTTTAGCACTTGTTGAGAAGTAGCACTGTAACCGTGAGTAGTTATACAGCCATCACTTGGCAGCTTAATGTTTCAACACTGGAAGTGAACAGGGAATGAATGACACGATATGACAAAGCCCATTTCCCACAGAGGGTCCAGAGGAAGGTGACATCAGATAGGGAGGCACTTGGAGGCGGGTATCGAGGAAGGGGAGTTGGGAGTTTGGTCTGAGAGGTGGTGGTGGATGGAGGGGTGGGGGAATGAGAGGCGAATGGGAGAAACAGCAGTGGGTGGCTGGGGTGAAAGGCTTGGAAATTGAAACTTCAGGAGAAATTTTGGCCTGGGACAAATTCCCCAGAGCAGATGTGACCCAGGCACAGTGTAAGAAGCAGTGACACGATAGCCAAGATATGGAAGCAACCTAAGTGTCCACCAATGGAAGAATAAATAGAGAAGATGTGTCGTAGATGTACAGTGGAATATCACTCATGAGCAAGGAGGAAATCCTGCCGTTTGCAACAACATGGATGAACCTGGAGGGCAATGTGCTGAGTGAGGTAAGTCGGGGAAAGGCACACACCGTATGACGTCACTTACGTGTGGGATCTACAAAAGCCGAACTCACAGAAGTGAGTAGAATGGTGGTTACCAGGGGCTCAAGGGGGTGGGAGGGTGAGTGGATGGGGGAGTGGGGAAATGTTGGTTAAAGGGTACACACTTCCAGTTTAAAGATAAGTTCTGGGGATCTAATGTATAGCATGGTGATTATAGCTAATAGCACTGTATTATATACTTAAAAAGATCTAAGAGTAGATCTTAAATGTTCCCACCACAAAACAGAAATGGTAACTATGTGACATGTTGGAGGTGTGAGCTAGTGCGCTGGTGGTAATCATTGTGCAGTGTATCAAGTGTATCAAATCAGCACTTTGCACACCTTAAACTTACACAATGTTATATGTCAATTATATCTCAATAAGTCTGTGGGGGAAAAAATTGAGACAGACACCTGGTTCCTGGGCTCTGAGGTCTACTGCCTTGGCATCTTCATGAAAGAGGTTTTGGAGAAATAAGGAAGAGGGGCTGTGTTCTGAGTTCAGTTCGTATCAGCCCTAGATGCAAAATAATGTGGGTAGGAAAATAATTCATTGGAAGAGGAAACCAACCAGGGGGAACAGGGGAGATTACAACCCCCAAAATCTGCGTCAAAGGTGGCATTGGACGTCCCCTTACAATATGGGAGGTTACAGCAGACCCATTTGATGTGATTGTCACAGGACAGTGTGAGACTCAAAAGGCATAAGGGAAATAATTCGCTAAATCTGATGTCATAAAAGAAATTCTTGTGCATTAGGTGAAAAAACCCACAACGATAAAACATAACTGACAAATGGAAAATATTTACAATGTCAAATTTAATGAACCACAGATCAATAAGAAAGCAGCCCAAACCCCAGAAGTAAATGGACAAAGTATAAGGACAGGAATAAACATGTAATTAAAGAAATGGAAGAAACCACAAGAAATGAAAGTTGCTCGAAGGCGCACATTTCCAGGAATAACTTTCAAAAAATGCAATATTGTTTTTTGGCGAACAAATGGCTGGGGGGGAAATGTTCTTAAAATCCAGGGCTGGCAAAGATGTAAGGAAATGTGCATTTCCAAATACGGTCGGTGTGACTTGTTACAAACTTTCTGGAGGGTACTTCGTTCTTTTTTCTTGAAATTTAAATGCCATGTTTGTCAGGTTTGAGCCTTGGGTCAGAGGTGCCGTCAAGATAGGGAGGGAGGGCTTTGCTCCCAGACCTGTGGGTCAGGTGGCCACACCCTGTCCTGAGGACGGCAGGAGGGCAAGGTCGGTGTGGGCTGACCGGATCAGGGTGGTCGGGGGGAGGGGGGACTCTCAGGAAGCCCACGTCTGCTCTTGGCCTCCTAAGAGCAGGACTCCCCCCCTTGCTGCCAAGGCTGAGGGGGCTACCTCTAGGGGGTTTTGTGGAGCCCCCAAAAGATGGCCCTGGGACACGGGGGCTGGGAGGAGCCCTCGTCCTGCGCAAGCCACGGCTGCAGCTGCTGAGGCGACCATGGCAGCCTAAGAGGACCATTCAGATCCCCAGGTTACAGAGGACGAAACTGAGGCTCAGGCGGGTGAGGCCACTTCTGAGGATCCCCACTCAGTAAAGGGCAGACCCCGTCCCCGGGCAGGATGGGAACCACGGTGTGGCGGCATGATTCCCCTTCCCTTCGTTGGGAGAAGTGGCTGGATCGTGTCCTCACCCAGCACTGGGCCTCGTCCTGCTGCTCTGGAGGGGTGTGAGGACCCTCGGAGCTGTGCATGTTCTCCAGCAGGAGGGGCAGCCCCTAGGGGAGGAGTAGGAGACCGCTTCCCCTCAGTCCTGGACCCACCCCTCACCTCCAGGGGCCCTGACCCCACTGTGCTCACCTCCCTCCTCCCCACAGGAGGTTGGATGGCTTGTTCTAGTCTCAACTCTGGGCT